TGGAAAATGCAAGTTATTAATTTGATTTAAGTTTTATTTCTATTTAGTTAAATTTTGTAGTTAATTTAATTTTTTAAGCGACCTGCGGTTGCTTGTCCGCTTATCGTACTATAATATCTGTTCAGATTTATTAAAAGCTATCGTAATTAATAAAAAATTGGCAAAAAGCCTATGTTGCATGGTTTTAAATTAATTTCTGAATTTGGTATAGGGTCGATATAGGATGGTAGCCAATCCGCAGGTTCTTTAGCGCAGTCCTTTTTCCTACTGGTTTCATTTTTCATTTTAATTATCGCACGCCAAATATTTGGTTATGTAAATAATTATTCCTATTAATTTTTGCATTTATAAGTTTAACTTTTTTATGTTCTTTTCTTCCCTGATATGACATACATATCTCCTGTATTACCACCGGTCACGTAAGGGAGAATTTGGGTGCCAGGAGTATCTAAGGTCGGCGACCACCCTTAATTCTCCCCTACTTTTAAATTGAGACTTATTCAGCCGTATGACGAAGCTTTATCAAGATAAATAAGATATTCGCGTTAAACGGATGAAAAGGAAGACTTCGGTTCCGGCAAGCCATTTAAAGGCAGCTTCATATTCAATAAATTTGGTCTGACTGACAAATGTTTTTCCCATCGATGCCCGATTAACTGATTAGAAATTTAGAAATTGGAAAATTCAGTCCCTACTACTCTGAGTTTGTCGGCTCATTACTTCGTGCTGGAGGTGATTGTTCATGGTCACGCATGTGGGTGGTAGGTCTACTAGACGAGCAAATGAATTAACGCCTGGTAGCCAAACCTCCCGCAACCTCGAAAAAAAGAGATGCGGCAGAGATTTTGAAGGGAAGAAGAATGCGGGGGAGAAATCAGACAGTGTACAGAGTTGAAAGCCCTGTCTTGAAAAGGTTTCCCTGTACGTTTTACGATAATACCGACTGGCATAAATTAATCAGAAGAAAAAGATCTTCTTTGGGATATAACCTTAAATTTGATCAGTGAGTTTTTGAGACTGGTTCCTCTACCCGTCTTCGAACTAACGAGAAATGTGCAAAGAACAACTAAAATTGCAAACGTGCGGAAATGATAAATATTCATATGGTGTGAGGCCTGAATGGTATTTGTGGTTTTTATCAGTCTGTGCTGTGCGGTCCTCATCTCTTCAACCATTCTTTGAGATGTTTATATGTTCCTTCTAAGTCTATGTGACGGTTAATGGACGAATCGTCAGAGTGCATGGTCTCAAGAAATTCTCCGCCATTTAGATCGCAATGTATTAAATAAACTATGCTGATTGGTAGAAATAATAGTGTGCTTGTCAGTGGAGGTGGGGGAGGGGGCTAATCAGGGTCAAAAATCAAATCAGCATGAGGGGACCCCGCAGCCGAAAAAGCTGATAAGCTGCGGGCTGTTGGATTATTGAATTTTGGCCATGGTAACCGCGGTGCCGTTATGAAGTTCTTTTTGGCGCACAGGACCAGTCTGTGTAAGCTGATGGCGGCCGCTTCTGCCGTAGCCAACACACACTGTCCAAGGGGCAAAGGTTGACTACTTATTTGCCTGGCAAACAATTTTACTGATCAACGCCGCCTGCCCCTCGAACTTCTGCAATACGTGGTGAGGCATGGCTATCAGTGGTTCAGGTAGCCTTGCGCTAGATGTCAGTAAGGGGTCAGGATTCGGATTTGCGTTCGGGCTGATAGGGTAATCGGCAAGCTTACGATTAAATGACCACTGTCGACAAAGACAAGGCTCATTGTCTTGCCGGTTTAGGTCGAAAATATTGAGATTAGTGGATGAAC